GAACACTAATACGTTAACTCGATCCCGGACTTTGCCTTCAGTCCCGCCAGTTTTATTCCGTTACGGTAGCGAAGTATCCTGGGAGACTGGCTTTTGTTGCTTTCAAACTACAGCGAGAAACACTTGTATATTACCTTTTGACTTCTGTGAGCGTGAATTATTATATACGCTCATTTTGACCACCTCTAACCTGTACTGTCTTGTAAATATTGGCTTTCAGGGAAACTTAAGGCTACTGTAACTCTTGACGAAGAGCCTGATGGTTACCGCTGGGTGCTCTGCGCAGTGGACGAGTACTTTAAGAAGGGGAATAATGAGGTAGGGAAACCAAGCTTCTTGATCACTTGTACATATAGTTCGTTTTACAATTATAAGATCACCCTCAAATCCTGAAGTTCAAAAGCGCATTTTGATAAGTATCTAGTAATCTCGAACAGTCTAAGAAACCTCTTTTTGAAACAACTTCGATGCTTATACTGTGACACTTCTTTACCTCTGCTGTTTGCGTGATTGGTTATACAGGGGTGGCCAAAAAAAGACACTTTGCCCATGGCGCACATCATCGAACTTTTCGTCGCACAGGGAGCCGATGTTAATGAAAGTTTTACGGCGAAATATTCCTTAGGTGTTCCCCCGTAAACAGAAGCAGGCCCTCCTTCACTGCCCCCGCCGTCTTCAGAATATGACGTCATCTGCCGTCACCGTCGAGCTCAACGAGGCTTACCGTAATCGCTCCGGCCTGAAGCTGCTACATAATTTCTTCAATGGATTAACTGTTGAATAGCTTCCCAGAGACATTAGCTGTGACTGTGCAAAACCGCTTTTGACCAGCGTTTCAGGGACGTCGTAATGGTCTATGGTACCTCGACGACCTCGTTGAGCTCGTACCGTGAACCATGTTTCCGTGGGAAAATCTTCTGATGTCGTCGGTGTAGAAGGCTGTCATGTAACTTTTAGATAGATTAGAATGTGCTCTTCAATACTGAGTTGGGGCAGTCGATTTGATTTTAGCAAAGTGTGATTAATGCTGTCTGAAATGTGGAGTGTCTCTTTTTTTGGCCACCCCTGTATATTGTTTGCAAAAGGTCGTGTGTGTGCACTTACTGTGCAAAATGGAAATGAAAAAAGATCAATTCTCAAACCTCAGCATACAAGAAGAGAGCTTAATATGGAGACGCGGATGTTGAAAGTGCTGGAATTCCGTAAGCGAAGAACTTGGCGAAGGTCACTATCATCGGCGTAAACTCCTCGAAAAGATCGCACAGATAATTTGAAAGGTGGCAGTTGGTGCCAAGGCGTCTACTATCACAACGGACTCCAACAATTATCGGAAAGGCTTGAAAGATCATCTTATCCCTTCCTCAGTCGACGCGTCGTCTACTTTTCCTGTAAGTCACTCAACCAGGAACGCCAGCACTCTCAAAACGCAAATGTGTGAATAGGTTATTCTGAGGTCCTGGCTGCATTTCAATAGAAAATTCTCAGGGACATATTCTTCAGGGAGTGTCATAGGAGTAGTCGCCAGTCGGGAATACAAAAGAGCTAAACCAAGCAACACTTGAAGCATGGACATGAGCTAATGGCTGTCTTCATCGGAATCCCGATTCCAGTATGCCACGGAGGCTGTTTGAGCACTCAAAGAGAAGAGATTATGAACTCTCTGACTTCGCCATTAATTTTAACATATCTTTTTTGCCGGGGTAAACTTTTGATTGTGAAAGTGCAAAAACCAAAAAAATATCTATAAGAAGTGAGAAGAAAGCTGCCTCCGTCAAAATTGCAATGCAAGGCTTGTTCGTGGTGGGAGTCAGTTGGTGATACTAGGAAAATTCTCAGTCTCCCAAGGGATTAACATTCTCACATCGAGGGTCACATTTGATGTGGGTTTCGCGTCTTGTAATTATAGAGATCTGCTTTTGATTATTTCATATCGTTCTCATTAAAGTTGGAATTTACAATGAAACGCCAGCCTGTTAGAAATTAAGGTAAAGGCAGTCAGTGGTGCATGGGTAAAGAAGCCATGGGAAACGGACTAGAACCCGAAAAATGGTGTCCGTTCTTAGCCCATGATTTCCGCATTGGTGCGAGTCACTGCCCTCTTCGGCGCTAACGCTCTCTCTGCTAAGCGGCTGAAGTCAGGCGGCGAGGGGTTTTTTGTCGGAGTGCTGTCAGAGAGGCGAGCAGAACGAGTAGCCCCCTGCTAGGCCGCTGAGGGCATTTTCTTCGCCGCGAATCGCGCATTGCCCTGTCCACTTAGTGAGAGCGCCTGCCTTTCGACTAGGCATACTTCCACTCCTTCTCCCTCCTACCTCTTTGTGTAATCCTCCTTCAATAAAAGCTCTTGGCGTTTGATCAAAGGTGAAAAGAGCACGCCTGGTCTATCACAACACACCACTTTGCTTTCATAAAACGGCCTCTAACTATTACTATGAAGTGGCAGAAAGACGCTTTCAGCGTGCTAAGGTTCTTTATGCCATGTTTGGGAATATTCTTCATTACTCAATCCTTGCAAAGCCTCTTCCAGAATTCTCTGTCGGACATTCGGAATTTTTCAGGTTCCCCACCCACACTCCCAACTCCCATACAGAGGCGTTGTTGGAGCGGTTAAGCAAGGACCGACCAAAGCAGTCAATTATATCACATCCCGCTACTTCCCATAAAGATGTGCGCTTTTTTCACGGTACAGAATGTGTAAGGTTCTTACCCTTTAGTTCCTAAATTGAATGTGCTTAAGAGATCTATGTTCCTCTCCTTCCATCTGAATGACGTCGAGTTCCCATTCCTTGTGATTAATTTAACCAGGAACAGGGTCAACCGTCCGTTCGAACTGTTCGAACGAAGGGGTCGCATTTTGGTCGGAAGGGGGTCGCAATTTCGAGGACTGCCAGCCACAGGCGCGTGCGTGGCGTATCCGAGGGCAAGAATTGTTTGTGCAGACCGCATTAGATTCGATTAATTATGCACAGAGAGACAGTTTTAGGCAAATTACGGTGTTTTCCTTGAGGAATAAAGAACAGTTGATCCCTATGAAAGGTTTGACTTCTCGGGGCTGAAATTAAAGTTCTTCGGGACCTAATTTTCTGAGGACGATTCTTCCAGACAACGGTAAAACATATAAGAAAGCAGAAATCTCGTAGTCTTCAAAAATGTCTTCGCCCCTCCCCCAACAAGTTTTTGAAGGAAGTTATTATTGCTGAAAGCTCAAAAACTCGCATGTGCTGCTCAAAAACCTATGGGAACAAAATGTTCGAACGTGTGATTTTCTCGGAAAATGGATTTTGAAAAACGGTTTGGTGCTTGTCAGAAAGAGCAAATCCTGTACTTTCACCCCATGAAAAAAGTGCATCACAGAAATGAAAATGAAGTGAGTTATGGTCGCTGAAAGCCCAAAAACTCGCTTTTGCACGAAAAATGTTCGAACGGGACAATTTTTTGAAAAAGGGGACAATCACTAAACTTTTTTATACTATTTTGTTAGAGAAATATTTGAAGTTTCTGAAACTTTTTACAGATTTCCAAAATGTCGCATACGAAAGATTTTATGGGCCTTCAAAGTTGAAGGTGCGCCTTCTTAGAATTTTGGGTTTTCCACTTCTAACAGAAGTACTTTCCGGAGAGTTAGGCAATCCTTGTAGTTTTCTGGAAGCGCACCTCAGGCACAATCAAAATCTACCTCAACAAGTCAAAAAAGTACGTCCCAAGAAAGTTATTCCCCTCTAAAATTTTTTCTTCGCCGCGTCCCGTGTTCTTCCAGCGCCCGGGTGATACCTGCCGCGCTCCAAGGCCGACGCGACGACGCGCAGACGCTTTCTGGCGCAACGGATTCATGTCTAGCACTCTTATTAACAAAAACAGGGGGTCGCAACTGGACCCCCTCGAGAGCTAGGGGGTCGCAAAAATCCCGAAAATGTTCGAACGTGACGGTTGACCCTGACCAGCAACCGTTCAAAATCCGCTTTTGTTTTGCTGCGGTTTTAGATCTGGCTCTATTATAACAGTGTGCTCAGAACGCTTTAGGCGTAGTAAGAGGGACTGAGGAACATAACTATTTTGCTAAGCCGTCCCCGCAGTCGAATAATAAAAATGTATGACAAAGCTAAAATCAATAATGTCAGGCTTCTATAGCTGTTATGTTCTACTGTCGTCCCTCAAAGATCACTCGGGTCGAGATCGAGCTAGTGTTACTTTGGAAAGCAAAAAGCACCGTAACACTAGCATTTTCCCTTGAGAGCTGGGCCGTGGTATGACGGATAGGCGGAAGTGGTGTAGTGGCAAGTGGCACGCTTACCACGCGAGCGGTCCGGGGATCAAATCCTGGGTCGTGAGTCGCCCGGGCCAACCAAGCCTTCCATCCCTCCGGGGTCGGTTAATTGGTACCAGACTTGTCTGGGAGGATAAAAACACTGACTTGTACATCGGCTGGCCCCCGCAAGTCATTGTATAGGCCACATCGCATTCAAACGCCACTACGAATGTACAAATGGAAGTAGAATGCGTGCCGCATCCCAAAAGGGATTGATCAACGGCAAATGCTTTATCCTTTATCCTTTATGACGGATGCTGCGAGGAGAGGGAAAACGAAAGAGCGCGTTGTGCAGGAGAGGGTGCTAACGTCACGTGTGTCGCGACTGATAAGAATGGCAGCGGTAGTAACGGTTTCAATTAGCGGCAGTATCACCACCTCCGTGATTGAGAGTTTTACTACCTCGCTCAATAAAGGAATTTCTAGGATCTGATCGCTACCCATGACATACAACATAGACATTTCTCGCATAGAATGCGCTGTTGTCAAAGTAAATGAACCATCCAGGAGTCCTCCATATTCGGCGTTTCTTTTAGGAGTCCGGAGCTCATTGGTAGTCTACTAGGCCGTGAAGTACATTTTGCGGCTACAAAAAGCGCAAAAAAAGATGACTCACCTACTGTGATCCGCCAAGTCAGTGCGGTCGCTGCAGACAACTTGAACTCCACCCAATACGGCGCTTACTTTAAGGTGGGCTACAAGGTGTTGTTGCAAGCTTATTTGTTAGTGATCCACAAGTTTTAGGTAGAAGTCGAAGTAGAGTATATTGGATGTACAGATGAACACGGAAATACTATAGTTTGGAGCGACCAGCTAGAATTCATGGTCGACGCTCACGCACTATTTAAAGGACTAGGTTTGTTCTGAAAGAGAGAATCCTCTATCGCTGCTCTGTATATTTTTTTATTAATTCGCATCCTTCTGGATCTTCCCTCGACTGAAAAGTTTCCCCAAGTATGTCTCTGCCTGATCACTTGGATTATAATATTACGCTGGCGGGGATGAACTAGTGCACGCTACAATAAATTAAACCGCACAGATCGAATTAGGATGATTTTTTCCTTGAAAGTGGCGCACAGATGTGAAGTGTGCCTTTACTGACGAAGAAAAAGGAACAACACTCTTTGCTTCAGTCATGGTGAAAAAGCCAGGATTATAGAAGGGCGTGGCTGGACCGATTTTCGAACGCAGCACTTACTACATATGTCGCAATCCACGTCGCATGTTGGGGTGAGCGCGGAATCTAGTCCATCTGCTCGGATTTGCTCAAAACTGACAGATTTGCTCAATTTTCAAGTCCTTAGCACCTTTTCCGCGCACTTTTGGTAACGGCTCCTCTGGAATCTTGTGGACAAGTTTGTCTTGCTTGCAGGATAGGCTGATCTACAGGTTGTTCCAAATATATTGCAACATAGTTTTGCCGTGTAAATTCCTTAAAAGCTGACCTTAGTCCAGCTGCTATGGGCAGTATTTGCTCAAACACTTTCATACTGAAAGTAACGCCATTTATTCGATATGCCTTCCTGTCGCCTTGAACACTGCTCCGGGACGGTTGGAGTTCGTGTGTGCTTTGGCCCGCATGGTGTCCTCTCTGTCGTACTTTTGCAAAGAGAGGGTGTCAGTTCTTTCGTGTAAATGCATTAGTACAGGTTCTCTACACAAAGCCACACATAACCCGAATGGAATTGTCCAGCATTTTGAGATCAATGGACGCCAAGCTTTCCGTTAGAGGGTGCGAACTTGAGAATAGTAGCGCGACAGCGGTCCTGAACGTTTTTCGTCCTCTGTGCAGAAACGCTGCCGTTGAGAAATCCCTTGTTCCTGAAGTGGCTGGTGACCTTAGTAAAAATGCTGCTCTGGAACTTCCCACATCATCTAGATGTTGGCATCAAGTTTTATGCCTTTACCAACAGACAACGGAGGATAGCAACCGGGTCGAGACCCCATTCTTGAATATGACAAGAATCGGCCACTGCTGGCGGAGAGCAACCGTTTTCTTTCGTCGGTTTCTACAGGAACTCAAGTGAGCAATCTCGAAGTTTGACGGGTGTAGCTTCCTTCCACGGCAAAATGTTCGCGTCCGAAAGTATGGTCCTCAGGTGGTCGTTTTCTACGGCCCTTTTCAAGAGCACTTCACACTTTGCTCTTCTGTTAGCCTTCTATGTTTCAATTAGGCCATGATTCTCAAGCATGTGTAGGTTCTTGTGTGGTCATGGTCGTGCTAGAAACTCACAACACTGATGCCATCTTTTACTTGCTCCTACAGGATTGGACTCGTTTCTTCACACTTTTCGTGAGATCTGAAGAAGCAGAAAATACGGGAGGAGACAGCGAGCATGACTATTCACTGCTGCTTTCTTCTATGCTCTGCTGATCGTGGACTGGTGCAATTCCAGAGACCAGCGATGTCTGTTTGAGAAAGTCCTACGTCTCGCGAAGGGAATAGCAGCTCTATTTGGGTTCGAATTCATCCCGAATTGGAAAGATGACGAGGAGCTGTGAAACTTGACAAGCTTATTCAGAGGATAATGGAAGAAGTACTAGTCGATACCAGTCGATAAGAAAAAGTAGTAACGTCCACCAAAAATGGCGGGCGAAATTTGTTGCAATAATTATGGAACACCCTGTGCTTGAGCTTATCATGGGTTGTCGCCTTTATTTGCTCGAGGTTGATAATGGGTTCGGTAATGTGGTGGATGGCTGGGGATGTGATGTGTCCGGTCTTGTGTGAGGAGGTTGCTCGCCAAGACTCTTCCACGAGTTGCCTTGCGGAATTGAACCTCTGAAGTGCTACGCTACGGCTTAGTCTAAATATTTATTAATCTAACCGAACACTAACGATTAAATCTGCCGTCCGAATATTGGATGTTGATATTGGTTGCCGCCGGATATTGATTGTATTGATCGAAGCCGGATATTGGGTATTGGAGGTGAAGTGCCGGAGATGACCAGATGGAGGTCGGAAGACGGATGAGCCACTATGGCAATGAGCCCCGACTGAGGAAAGCTCCCGCTATTTATACCCCTCGACCGGGGTCGCTGGGATCGATATGTTGTCT